CCCCCCTCTCCTCTCCTCTTCCCCTCTCTGTCTGTCTGTCTCATTAGAAAAAAGTCCCATTTTTATTCTTTTTCATATATATGTATATGAATATATACCGTTGAATAGCCATTGAATTTTCTCTTCCATCAATCATTATTCCTCATTGTAGGAACATTCATGGACAGAGAGAATGTCTGTAGAGTCACTCATGTGTGTAGAGTATGTGTTCCTGTCCATCGTGACTGTCAAGAAACAGTAGCATCACAAGGGGCTGCAGCAGCAATACTATGGACTGGGTATTTAAAATACAGGGTATGCATTCTTGCATTTCTGAAGACTGGGAAGCTCCAAGTCAACACACTGTAGTCAGTGCCTGGTGGGGACCCAATTCCTGCTCACAGACAGCCATCTTGTGTCTTCACCTGGCAGAAGGGGATCCAGGCTCTCTGGGGTTTCTTTATCCTATTCTAGTCCTGTTCATAAGGAAGACTGGCTGTTACCTCCCAAAGATTCTACCTCCATATGACACTGCCTAAAAGGCAGTGATTTCCACAAGTCAATTAGGGAGTGTCCACAAGCATTCTAGCCACTGAACCAACCATCATACATGTAAGCACTTAATAATGGGCCGAGTCTTGGAATAGAATCCTCATAGGATTCAGTGTCTCCACTGGGACTCCTCTAGAGGGTATTCCTTAGCCCAGTCTACCAGATCGTTCTCTTTATTAATGACTGTTGGGCTTCTTTGCATTGACATTCTATAGTGTGTGCCAACAAATCCCTTTGGTCCATTCTGGTTTTTCTATCAACTCCTTATTTCTATTTTATTTGCGTATTCTGGAGTTTTATAGCCTTTTACAATCACTTGCTTTATATTGTATTTATGTAAAAGTTGATAATCTGGCATAGGTGATCAGTCTAGAAACTATATGACTCTGGAAAAGCTTGAGAGGCACAAGCACTTGGGACAGTCTTGATAAAAGGAGAAGCAGGTAAGAATTCCCTTTCTAAAAGTTAGAATGTAATTACATAAGTTCCCCCCTTCCCATTCCTTCCTTGTACCCCCTCAAAATTATGATCTCTCTTTAAAGTGTAATTCTGTCTCTCTCTCTCTCTGTCTCTCTCTCTCTCAGAGTACATTTAGCGTTACTTTTATCTATATGATTTCACAGCTGACTGTTATGTATTAGGTAACCAACTGGGGGCTCATCCCTGAGGAGGAATATTTCTGCTCCTACCAACATTCCTTAAATACTTGTAGTTCTTTGTGATGGAGTCTTGTGAGATGTTCCCCTTCTGTATTAGCATGTCCATTGGTGGTACACTTCTTCAGGTCTTGTTTAGGCAGCTCTATGGTTGTCAAGGTATCAAGAGTGAAACTTCCTTATCTTTTTAGGAGACAAAATTCTCACACCAGACTTCCTGGTCCCCTGCCTCTGTCTGTCTTTCCTCTCCTTTTCATGATGTTCCCCGAGCCTTAGGCGCAGGTGTTGTGTTACCCAGTTGGGGCTGGGTACTCTGAGATCACTTGTTCTCTGCATTTGACTGGTTTCTGAAATGGTCCATCTGTTGTGAAGGGAAGTTTCTTTGATGGTGGTAAGAACTACACTTACCTATGAGTAGAAGGATAAATACTTAGAATGCAGTTAGGAATTATGATGGTTTAGTAAAGTTGCAGTTGTAGGTTATCTATAAGATCCATGACCTCACTATCCCCTGGTCATTGGCTTGATTTCTAGTATTAGATATGACTTCTTTCCAGTTAAGTGGGCCTTAAATCCAATTACAGACCTGTTGATTACTGACCAGGTTTGTGTGACAAAGTCCCCTTAGAGATATCATACCATGATGGTCACTGTTACAGTTTATAACTGTTACAGTTGGATATGACTATTGCTTGCTTTCCTTCCTGGGAAGCTTACACAGCACCTTCCAATACCGTTCAAGTCAGATCCAGCTTGAGTCTACCTGGTTTTATGTCTGAAGTGCATGGTGTCGAGAACATTCTTAGTAAAGACGCCATACATAGAAGAATAAAAACATGGTGCATTTGGGCATTTGGGGGGAATTAGCATAACCAGGATTGCATAACGATGGTAGGAGATAACCTGAGCCGGAGAGTTGGACGAGGTCCCTGGGAGTCCTGCAGTTTATTTCCTGACCTAGTTTAGAGTGGGAAGTGCAGCAGGTGTCAGCTGACCTATTTCTACTCACACTTAAAAATAGAGAACTCTTCATTTTTATATTTTCTAACGTCAGTGATTGCAGCTTTCATTTTTGTGTGCACATGCATGTAATATATGTGCTGTGTGTACATGAGTGTTTGTGTATGTGTGTGAATTTGCATTGCACATGTGTGCTTATGCATGTGGAGGCCAGAGGTAGAGTAGGTGTGTTTCTTGATCACTTTCAAGCTTATTTTTTTTGACATATGGTCGCTCACTGACACCAGAGCTTACTGACTGACTGGCCAGCTGGAGGCCCGCCTGTCTCCCCTCCCCTAGCACAGGCTAGACTTCTGTGCGAGTGCTGGGCATCACAGCTCAGGTCCTGGTGTTTGCACAGCGGACACTTGATTGGCTGATCTCTCTATCTCCCAGGCCTCTCGTTTTTTGCACTTTTAGGTCGTTTGCTCCTGTCCCTTCTCTACTCCCATCTTAGTATCGATAGATAAGGAAGCGGATGGTTAATGCACAGTTGGCTGGCTGTGCTTCCAGCAGCGTTAGACCATGCGCTCCCAGGGGTCTGTGTGCTTGTGTGCTGTTCGTCTTCTCCTCCAGGTCATTGTTTTCCTCTTCGTCATAGGACTTGGCTTTCACTCTGGAAGAGAGACAGCAGCTGAACATCCATGGACTGTTGCCGCCCTGCATCGTCAGCCAGGAGGTCCAGGTCCTCAGAGTAATTAAGAATTTTGAGCGTCTGAACTCTGACTTCGACAGGTATCACATTTATGAACATTTTTCTCTTATGGAATTCTCCTATTGTCTTTGGTAAAGAAAGTTGAGCTATTATGTGGTTTGGAATGGATAGTTAACTTGGAGGAGAATTTGTTTGCAGATACAGTGATTTTTTTTTAAGCATTTACTTTCTCTAGGATTATTTGAATGAAGTATTTTTTATAATCTAATCTTAGTTAATCTTTCTCAAGATAATTTTTTTAGGAGAAAATGATATATGCCCATATTTACTTAATATATGTTATTTAGTTTTATGTAAACATAAGCATTCTTAACAAAAGAAGGAAGACATAGCCATAAAAATTGCTGTCCTCATTTCTTTTTTTAAATATTGTTTATTTATTTTTATTTATATGAGTACACTAGCTATCTTCAGACACACCAGAAGAGTACATTGGATCCCATTACAGATGGTTGTGAGCCACCATGTGGTTTCTGGGAATTGAACTCAGGACCTTTGGAAGGGTAGTCAGTGTTCTTAACCACTGAGCCATCTCTCCAGCCCTCTGTCTTCATTTCTAAAATTGATCATTGGTCATGGCTGGTGTTTATAAGTGACCTCTTCTGGTGGAGTGGTGCCGACTTTCATTCCTGAACAGTCGGCCTTGGTAGTGCTCCCTACATGAGCGTGAGTTTCCACACACAGTGCAGCAGGGTGGGATCTGATGGCAAGAAGGGGCAGCCGTACTTATCAAGTAAGTTCCTCTGAAAGAAACTTCTGTGGGAACTGTTATTTCCTCCTGAGGACAGCTTTCCCAGTGACTTAACCGCCTTCTGCTGATGACACTTTTTGAATTTCCCAGCACCTTTCCAATCAGCACTTTGGAGGAGACCAAGTTTTCTGCACACATTCACACACTTAAGTTCACACACAGAAGTCACTCCAAAGGGACTAGTTTTGTTATTGAACACAGTTTTTCAAGATTTTTCAGTTTTACAAAGTAGTTTGAATTTTATTGAAGGTTACAGGTAATATAAAAAGGATTATGGTTGTGGAAAGTTAACTATGTGAGAAACGCCTCTACCTAGAGAAAGGCCATTAACAAATGATGAGGCGTTCATTTGATCGCCACACTCAGGAAGCAGAGGCAGGTGGATCTCTGTAAGTTTCATGCCAGCCTGGTCTAAAGTGAGTCCTAGGCCAGCCAGGACTGCAGAGTGAGACTGTCTCAAAAAAGAAAGGAAGGAAAGAAAGAAGGAGCCATTAGCTTGCTTAAGTTAATGGTTAAACTCTACTGTGATATTTTCATCTCTTTAACTATAAAATATGGACTACATCTGTCCAAATACTAAATGGAATTGTTACTTAAGCAATAACAGTAATGTTTGAATGATAATAATCCAATTTGTGTATCCTCATTTTTTGAGATCTTGAGGGTTTTGTGGTATGTATGTATTTGTGTATGTGTGTACATGTTTGTAGATGTCTGTGTGCATGCACATGCATGCAGTTGTGGAGGCCAGGAGTTGATATTGGCTCTCCTCCTCTATAGTTCCCCACCTTATTTTCTGAGACAGAGTCTGTCACTGAACCCAGAGCACATTGATTGACTGACCTAATGAGCTCTGGGGTCCCCTTGACTGTAACCCTGCACTAGGTTAGAGATGTGGACCACTGGGCGCAGGGTTTGCATTGACTCCAGAGATCCAAACTCGGATCCTCCTGTTTACATGTCAGGCTCTTGGTCCCATGAAGCCAGCTCCCTAGCCCCTTGAAAGATATTTCTAAAATTTTTGCTATTTCTTTTGTAAGACAGAGTCTCACTATGTAACCCAGTCTGTCCTCATATTCAGTCTTGCCTGAGTTGCCTGAGTATTAGGGTTAGAGGCACATGCCACCATGTCTGACCTGATTATACATGCTTTCTACTTGACTAAAGATGTGTTGGATCTTGGTTGAAATTAGATTTCTAATAGCCGTTTTGACTGTTGGATATAGATCTAATTGTGTCTCGTTTCCACAGATATCTTCTGTTAATGGATCTGCAGGATAGAAATGAGAAGCTCTTTTATAGTGTGCTCATGTCTAATGTTGAAAAGTTCATGCCTATCGTTTATACGCCCACTGTGGGTCTTGCATGCCAGCAATACAGTTTGGTATTCCGGAAGCCAAGGTATGAAACTTTTATTTTAAATACGAGTTGCATTTTACCTTTTTGTAAATTTTTAAAATTTTGTAATTGATGTGAGTTGTATTAATCTATCATACAGAACATGTGTAAATCATGAAATGGCTAAATTGAGCTAATTAATGTGTATATTATCAGTTATATTTGACGATTATACAAGTCAATTAAAATATATTATTCTCAGTGATTTTTGGCAAGAACACTGAAAGCAGTCTGCTAGCCATTCCAAGAATCTAGTATGTTGTAACTTGGAGAGGTGGCTCATACTGCTCTTCAGAGGACCCAAGTGGAAGTTCGGTTCTCAGCACCCACACTGAGCAGGTCACAGCTGCCTGTTACTTCAGTGCCTGGGGTTCAACACTCTCTTCTGGCTTCTTTGGGCAGGACAACTGCATTCATACTTAAATCTGAAGCATTTAAGTAATTAAATAATTTAAATATGTTTTCATTATTTCTTGTCACTGTGGTACACAGTAGGTCTCTATAGTTCCTTCTTATCTAGTTGAAATTCTGCATTATTTGACATGCATCTCTGAATTGTGCAACAAATCTTCCAGCCCCTGGTAACTACTATTCTGTTGTTTGCATTATGAGTTTGACTATATCAGTGAGATATAACGTGGTACCTCCCTTTCTGGGTTTGGCACATTTCACTTAATATAGTGTCCTCCAAGTTCACTCAGGGTTTTATAGTAACAGTATACACTCCTTCTTTAAGGCTGAATAGTATGCCATTGTGTGTGTGTGTGTCTTCATTAACTCACTTCTTACAAAGATTAAGTCTGATTCTGTATGATTCATACCCTAGCCTACATGTCACTCATCATTTTAAGGATAGCCATTTTCACAGGGGTCAGGTGATAGCTTCACCAAACCAACTTAGCCCAGGATGGGTGACCAGTCATGGAAGCTGGAACTTGAGGAAGGAGAAGCCTAGTGAATCTGGTCAGTCCGGGGAGTTCCTAAAGCTATGAAGTTGTTCACTTCCTGTCTTAATGTCTTATCCACTTCCTGCAGGATTAACTGTTTCAACTCCCCACCTAACATCCTATGTCTTAAGAAACTTCTTTCAAAATGTGAGGTTTAGTCTTAGACAAAGCCACTCTATAACACTCCTCTAGTAACTGTCAACTGCTGATAGCTCCTAAGTAAGGGGTGGGGTCAGAGAACACCTCAACCTATGTATTTCATGGAATTTTTACTGTAAAGCTTCTAATATTTTAATTTGCACATTATATTTGCTATGATTATATCTGTTTAAATTTTGACAGTAATGAAGAGTTTCAATGCTGATTGTTGAAGAGATCCAGTTATTAGGATTTCTACTTTTGGTTTATTTTTGCTCAGAAAATCTTTTTCTTTTCAGTGCCTAGAGTTGAACCCAGGGCCTTGCATATGCTAAACAAGTGCTCTTCCACCCTCACCTCTCCTAGAAAAATTTTTGTGGGGGGTGTGGGGAGAGTTGAGACAGGGTCAGTGTAGCCCAGCTGTCATAGGAGTAATTATATGGGACAGACTGGCCTGGAACTTACAGAACCCATCTGATTCCCTGGTGCTGGAACTTGTGGCACCATCCCTAGCCTTCTGGAAAGTTCTTAAAGAAATGTATATAAGAAACTATTAGATGAACTACAGTAAAACGTTAAAATACCCTTTGCTACATTTGTGTTTATATATCAATTTCCTTTAGGATTCCACAACATTCTTGGAGCAGTCATTATCAACAGTAACTGCACTTCTTAATTTGTTATTAGGAAGTATATGTGGTAAATACAGACACCATTATGGCCTGGGTTTGAACCCATCTCTAGATGGTTACATTTATGAGTCTAAGGTTGTTTACTTAAATGAAAATATAGTCTGTATATATCTAGAATCTCAAGAGGATGCTGTCCTTTTTAATTGAAGCTTGATTTGTGAACTAGCAATAAGAAAAAAAGCTTAAAATAACACTTTAAAAACTAATCCCTGTGGTTGACATTCCTTCAACTAGATAATGTTCCTGTTACATAGTGGGGACTATAACTGTATTAAGCCTTAATGAATGGTTAATTGAACTGAAACTGTCATAGCGTTGAAATGTGTTGTATAGGTGTATGATACTAATTTTACTTAAGTTAGAACTCCTTTAGTAGCTCAGTAGCTGACTGTAAAGTAACCATGGATGGTTTCCTCGCCAGTGCAGGCCATATGCTCAGCCTTTGAAATAATTTTCCTTACAGGCTCCATGACCTGATCTCCTGTGAAAGGCCCTCCCTCTTCATGCCATAGCTGGGACTGAGGTGTGATCAGTTACGTTTAGAGAAGCCAGCTTCAGGGTCTTGTGGCCACCCAATAGTTTATCATTATTCTACTTTCTACTGAGACAGCAAATATAAACCTCCAGGCAGTCCAGTGACCACAGGTCCTGAGGCGCCTGTCAGAGGCAGGTGAAGCTGGCTTTTAGAAAATGGGCCAGATGACTATTATGGGAAGGGTCATTCTAGATTCAGATATTGCTGGCTAGCAGAGCTGCCCAGGAGAGCCAAGGCTGTGCTTATTTGATTTTTTTAAAAATTATGTATTTATTTTATGTTCAGAAGTACACTGTAGCTGTCCTCAAACACATCAGAAGAGGGCATCAGATCCTATTACAGATGGTTGTGAGCCACCATGTGGTCGCTGAGAATTGAACTCAGGACCTCTGGAAGAGCAGTCAGTGCTCTTAACTGCTAAGCCATCTCTCCATCCCCAAATTTGGTTTTCTTGAATTAAGCCACATTAGATGGTCACACACACGCTGGTTGTGGTGGTGGCACACACCTTTAATCTCACTGCTTGGGAGGCAGAGGCAGGTGGATCTCTGGGTGAAGCCAGCCTTGTCTACCCAGTGAGTTCTAGGTCAGCAAGAGAGATATAGTAAAAATAAGATTTTTACTATATTACTTATATTTACTTATATTTACTTATATTATTACTGTAAAAATAAGATTAACCATATTGAGGTGACTTTAAACCTTAGAGATTTAAATGTCAAATCACTGATTATACTTTTATTGCTTTCAGAAGAGTGATATGATTGTTACATGCTGATAAACTTTTGCCATTCACTTGTAGTAGCACCACTGGTTTTTATTTATACAGGTTCTGTAGTGTTAGCACTCCCATTCATTTGTTTTGTTACCTTTAAAATAAGCTCAGAATTTGCACTGGTCATGGTTTTGTTTTTTGTTGTTTGCATTGGTTGTGCTTTAAGGTTTTTAGAAAGCGAGTGCTATGGTGAATGCTCTTCAAAGCTCTGAAACAAACTAGAATGAGTTGGTTTCTAACTGTTGCTTCAGAGGACTTTTGAGCAATTCTTTAGAAAAAGCTGCTTGCCACTGACAGTGGAGATTCAGGCAGGGATGATCTCAGGAATTACAAGTTCAGATCGTTCTTTTCCTGAGCAGGGCAAGTGCTGCATTTGTGAAAATGAGTGTGTGTGTGACACTGTGACATTTACTAAATATGAGTGAGGTCAAGTCTCTGCCACCACAACTACAAGGAATTCAGTGTGTGCCCAGAAGGAGTTTAGAATTACAAAGTATTTTCTCTCTTAAGCATTGCCGTAATTAGGAAAAATGTGGAGAATGGAAAAAATGTAGACATGATTCAAACATCAGTTCTTTACATCAAGATCTAACGGTCAGCCAAATTTATGCATAGACGTATAAATCTCTTTGGCAAGGCAGTGAAACTTATCTTCTACTGTAAAAAGCCTTTAGAAATACAAGTAACAGCTCATTGAGTCTCCATTCCCCTCCATTCCTTCTAGAGACTGCACATGTGGAAAACTTGAGTGGAAATTTAAGTTTCAGATCCAAAACTAATTTTGCTACAGTCTGTGTGGCACATACAGGTGTCTTGATTTAAGTTTGTGTGTAACATATGGAGAATTCAGAAATAGTTTGCCAAGTTTTATCTCAAGTAGTACTCATGAAGACACACACACATTGTATAGTACAAGAATGCATGTATTATAAATGAGAATTTTAAACCTTAGTTTTCATTACTCAAAATAAAAAGTAAATTGAAAAGAGGCAGTGATTCTTAAACTATTTTGTATCTTACCTTCTCATGCCTGGAATACTACATTTATTAGATAACCATATTTTTGATGGGTTACTAACATATTCAGCTCTGTCCAAAGAAGGTGACTGTAGTAGTACCAGTTCATCTGAGAGTAAGCTAGAGGAAGAAAGAGACCCAAGCCTACAGGACTTAAGTCTTCACTTACCCCCAAGTCTTTTGTGTAGGAGGCAGCAGCATCTGTTTTCACAGGATAGCCATAGAATGGAGAACTGCAGTTGCTGGATGGAAATTCTTGCAGGGATACGGTACTTTCCAAAGCTTTTCTGACTGGCGTTGGAATACACTTTCCCACCTTCAAAACTGGAGATAGTTGAGTGGTTTGAGATAATTGTTGATGATACCTGCTCTGAATGAGATCCTAGCAGTGGGTTTATGTCGAGCCATTGAATTCTAAGGTCACTTTTTCATTTATTTTGTGCTGAATTTATTCTGATGCCGTAAGGTTCTGTTTCTTCCTTTTCTTCTGTGCAGACTCTGCTTCTGGCTTACGAACTGTTTGTGTTCTTGTTTGGTGAGGACAATGTCAAGATGGTTCATGTGAGGGTTAATCTGACCATGAGCTCTGGTGCACTTGTGTCAGTGATAAGAGAATTTACATCTCAACCTATAAGCTCAGTGTTGCTCTCTGCATGTGCAAGCACTCTGTTTTGTCTAGCTCCACTGTCTGGCCTAGGTACACGTAGTAACTCTTTCACTGTACACCAGTGCAGCACATAGCAGTGCAGCGCACATCAGTACAGCACATAGCAGTGCAGCGCACACCAATGCAGGGCACACCTTGCTTCTTTAAAGGGACCTCTTTGAGATAACTTGTTAGCTTTTTAAATATGCATACCCCTTCTGGTCTTGGCGTGTCACACATGTTCTTAGTGAAC